GTAAAATAATTCCCAAGGGTGGGAGCGGCGCGACTCTCGGAAAAGCGGCGGGACGAGAGAGCCTAGTATATCGCCGCCGATATTTTCTCTAATCCAGATGTCACCGGAGCCAGCTTACCTTCCCGAATTAATATGCAAATTAATGTACGCACCGCAGTCGCGGTCGCATACGGCAACGTATACCGCAGCGATCCGGTGTGTACGTAAGTATATAATACCCAGTATATTGCGCGACTCGCCCTCTCTCTCTCTCTCTGCACAGCGACGCGAGCTCTTCAGGAGCATTTGCCACAGGCTGTGTGCGCACTTTCGGCGCGGGCCCACGCCACAATGGTCCACACCGTGCGGAAAGATGCGCAATGATAAATATCCAAAGCCACGAGAGGGGCCACTCGAGCGCCTCTTATCCGTCCACTTCACCTTCGTGCGGGCTGCGCCCTGCGCTCAATGTAGTCCTCCTTTTGTTTGGCCCTCGAGCCATCGTGAAAGCCGACGACGACAACGATGACGACGACCCCCTGTCGTGGTCTTCGCGCCGGTTTCATTATTAACGCGCGGACACCGCAAGCGCGCGCGCTTATCGCTGTTTCCAACCCCGTTCTCTTCGCCGCGGCATTCAAAACAGACAATAATTCCTCGCGTTGACTATTCCCGAGATTGATAATTGACATCGCGATGATTCACACAGCGTTCAATTCACGTGATATTCCGCGCTTACCGCTGTTGGCCAGCGGGAAATGTCGATTTAACCGCGGTGGTTTCCACAATTGTTATAAATGCCTTCTTCTACTTTCTGCAATTTTTTTCTCTTAAATCTTGCCCGTATGATAACTCGTTTATCATTAAAATATTTTGTTCTATAAAATATTGTCGTTGTTTAATAAATTAGAGAACGGAAACTTCTCTATGGAGTTCCAGAAATTTTGAAATTTGATGAGCATGTCCCACGAGTGTTGAAAAGTTAATGGACTCAAACAGCACGGATATACTGTAAAGATTTCAAATATTACAAGTGTTTCACGACAATTTTACGGCCATTTGCCTTGCAAACATCATCGTTATTTGATCTGCGATTTCGCACATTATTTGCGTCGATTTCCTTGATAATAATAGTATGACGTGCGTTCAAATGTATCTTCATTTGTAAGTTACCTTTTGTTCAAATGTGCACGAGATAGTGGAAAACAATGTGTATTAATAACGATTAATATACATTGCTTTTCACTATTTCGTGCACTTTTATTCTCAATTAATTAGATCATACGCAAGAGCGATTCTCCGATCGAATGTTCTCTGTAATAATTACAAAAGCGCATTTACGTTTGCAAGTACACATTGTTTATGGTCCAATGACCATTGCAACAAATATCTGCAGTAAACACTAATCGATAGCAATAAAATGAAAATTGTAACACAAAGTAACCGCGTCATTCACAAGATCGAGCAAACAGTTATTTTTAATTACCGCAATTCTTCATTGTTGCTAAATATTTTTTATATCAAAGAAAACTACTTACCGTTTTTTGTATTTTGCGAATAAAATAGATTTATCAATTAGAAATAGATTTATCAATTAGTGAATTATCTATGAAGCTAAAATTTTTCAACATTTCCTCTGCAATGACTTGATAAATGACTTCATTAAAAAATGTTTAAATAAATTATTGTCGTCGCTTCTAAAACAAGTTTCGTAAAGTGTGAGCGGAAGAACGCACGAAGAATTAAATTTCGAAATAATCTGTTTTGAGATCTTTTTTCGCCTTTTCGCGTTTCTTATGGCGAGATGTCGCGTCTTATTCATCGCCGCCGTCTTCCCACTTTTTACCATCTATGTTTCGACCATCATGTCGGTGTACGCGCTCGTTTTCTCGGTTCGGTGCGACTTTTCATCCCCGGAAATTCTGTTTCTTTTCCCTTCGGCCGAGGCTGCGTAACGACTTCAATTTAAGGCGCGCTTCGCAGTCTGCCGGCACACACAGTCCTTTCGAAGCCCTTTTTCCAACTTTACGCGGCGCATAAGAGAGAGAGAAAGAGAGAGAAGAGAGAGAGAGAGAGAGAGAGAGAGAGAGAGAGAGAGAGAGAGAGAGAGAGAGAGAGAGAGAGAGAGAGAGAGAGAGAGAGAGAGAGAGAGAGAGAGAGAGAGAGAGAGGTCGCGCGAGCTCGCGCTAAACTTACAACTGTCTGTCTACGGGAAGATGGGCCGCGCGCGAGGTGATTACGAATGGAAAGAAAGGGCGGAAGAAGGGAAACCGCCGGCAGAGAGCCGTGAAAGCTGCGTTTAGCTTTAAACTCAACTTAATAAGATCACACTGCGTTAAAGCTTCACGAGATGAGACGGGATTCTGCTTTCCCTGAAACTTTTTAACTTCGACGAGATTAACGTCGTCCGACATGGCACTCCCGTGTAGACGCGCGTGCGTACCAGCGTAACACTAGATAGGAGTTATTTGAGAACGATGAGTTGAGAAGCTTTGCGAAGGATGGCACAATTTATAATGGTGTTACGAGCTGATTAAATATCTAGGGAAGATTTAGAGACACGATAAAATTTACTTGCGGAGGATCGGGAGAAGTAGAACAGCTGCAACACTGAATAATCGCTTGTTTTACTAAATGATCGCTCTTCTCAAATGTAACTGCGGGGAGTGAAGAAATTTCCTGCATATCTCGTTCCTTTTGCAATAATTATACATAAAAAGAGTCGCTGCAAGGCCGTCTTGTTTTCATTTTTGTATCGGCGTGTATAAAATATTGAGATAAATAAAACATTAAATATGCACCTCGCGAAATGCATGAAATCACTTAGTATCGCGCTCGATTAAACGAAGGTATCGCGCGGAAGCGAGCGCCACTTTCATGCTCTGCTTTGCATAAAACGCCGCGAGCATGCCAATCAAGTGTCTGCTCTCCTTGCTTTTTCTTCGACGCGCAGCTTCCGAGGGATGCCGCGCATCATTCCGTATTTTCACACAGTTTCCGGCCCGTCTCATCTCCAATCAAGCGCCAGACGTACAAACATATATCCGGTCTCGACTCAAAGTACGTGGCGCGCATCGGGAAGATTCGTCCGTGTGTTCGAGATATCTATAGAGAGGGCTTATCGATACAAGTTGCGGCCCCCGGCCGCCTTCCCGGAAATGTATCACGGATTTACGCGATCGCTAACGCGGATACATAGCAGCCTGTAAAGCGTGTTATTCTCTATTACGCGCGTCTATATGTGGTATATACGTACATGTGTACGTGATACATGCTCGCGTACAAATCGCCCATGTAATAATTCAGCAAGCCACGATGCATCGGCGGGGACCGACGCGAACACGGAAAGCCGGCTTTCGAAAGCGTGCGATTCGATGACGGAAGCGCTGTTTTGATGTCGCGTCAATTTAATTGAAATTTTAACTTTCGTTCGCCAGGCTCGTTCGCCGACCGTCGAGTGTTCCGTTTGATATTTGCGTTTCGACCAAGTGAAATATCGAGTGCGCTATCGCGCGCGCACAAATTTATCATGCGAGAAAACGCGTTACCGCCCGATTCCGGCTGATCAAGCAAGCAAAGGACCGCGCGTAAATCACCCTTTTGTGACTTTATGGTCGCGACATCGCGGTGAAGTATGGTAGCCTATAAATCGTAACAGCGAAAGCTTCGAATTAGCGATATACAAAGTTTTATAGTTAACCAAAACCATTTTTGTGTTGTAATGTGTGTATGTAATAAATTTATAAAACCCTGCAAGTTACGTGAATAAATCCGAGCGAAAAGAAGATTTGAAGAAGATGCGAAAAAGAACATTCCGTAGCTTGAATGAATAATCCTCTCATTGCGCTTGCATTAATTCTCATTTCAGTGCTATGTATTCAACAATTATTATACTACTTGGGACGTTAGCTACAGAAATATAATAGTTATGAAACAAATTCCATGTAGCATTGTACTGTGGACTATAGTACTAATTCAGTCTTGTTATAAGAGCTTTATTTGAGTCTAATTGTAAGTTTAAATGATAATTGAAATCGCCCTGCAAACGGAATACTATAACTTTTCGATGATAAGAAAAATATTTATCATAAAATCTTGAAATTGTTTTATATTAACACTTTTATCGATCGAATTAATTACGAAGAAAGACAAGTCATTAAATAAGAATAAACAATGATAACAATACGGAAAATACGGTGCACGAAAATTATCTACACGGTCTAGTTAGAACTTCCAAGGCTGATGAACAATGTCGCGGAGTTTCGCGGAAGTTTGAAGCGACCAGGTTTCCTTTCCTCTTTGGATCCACGACGAGCGAACGAACGTTTATCGTGGTGCGTCCTGTAACGTCCACTTCCGGCCAGGACAAACTTATCTGAAAGTTTACACGCTCGTACGGTGAACGAGGAAAAGTCGATTGCCACGAGCTTACGAGAGGCGGAGTGGGACCAATGAAACGCCCTGAGTTACGATACAAACACATATACACACACGCAAGTTGCAACTCCTTCTGTGCCCGGACGTTGTTCTTTGTGTTTTTCAATTTCGCAATCGCGCCCAGCGAAGGTTACAATCGTACTTATACAAACTTTGTTCTCGAAGAACAATTTCGTTTTACATTTAGGTACCAAAATATGCGCTACTTTCGATCAGTTTGAATTTGTCCTTTTTTTTTGTAATTCACAGAACACGAATTTGGCTACATAAAGTAAAACAATACCCTGAAAAGTTTACGCGAGAGAGAAAATACATTTCCGCAACGCGTGTGTAAAATAGTTTCATTCACATTCTTCATCGCTATAAATGCCGAAATAAATTTTCAAACAACCATCTGCTTCAATTCCGCGCAGTGTGAATAGTTTTAACATTACGATTCTTGAAAGAATAAACATAAAGTAAAAAAATTGTTTAGTAATTTTTTTAACAGGCAAAAGTGCTAGAATACGCGTGACAATCTCTTTTAGTATATTCCCAGGACTACACATGTGCTATTCAGATATTAACAACAAATAATTACACACCTTTTGATCTTTCTGCCAAATGCACTGCCCTCTCTTCCCGAGGACTCGACATACCAGCTTCGCATCTTGGCCGGGATTGACCTCGGTGTACTGCGGCATTTCCTCAAACTGCTGAATTCCACGGCAGACTACAAACAATAACACAGTAACAAATAAAACTTCATACGTCGTAGAATTGATAGTAATACACGCGAATAGTTAAAATTGCACACACTACGACGAAGCGCGTCGCTTTCCATTTTATTGGCAAACCGAATTGTTTTGTATTCTTCACGAAAAACAAGAGGTTTGTTTTTTCAGTCAACGCTAAAGTACAAACAGAAGGTAAAGGCAGGATATAAGCATGGTTAAGCCGGGCATTAAGGCAGCCTGCAACCTCGTTAAAGTTGTTATTTAATTCGCAACTTCCTAAACTCATTTAACTCGGCCCGTGCTAAAGCTACGATCTTCAGTTTTCACCTTTTAAGTTTGCCGATAAATTGTATTTAGCGCTAATCGAATGACGGCAGACGCGACGGTACTGACTTCGATGCGACGACGCACGCAGACTTGTAGGCACTAATCGCGTCTCGTTAGTTGATGTAAATTATTTCTTCGTTGCTCCGGATGAACTAAATTAAGCGGATTTAATATCAGAATACAATTAATCGTTCCAAGTTGCGAAAGTTTAAAAAAATTGCAAAATTAATAATAATGGATTACAATTTATCGATTCTCTCGTATAAATAGAATTCTCTAATAATATGTTGCATATACAAAATAAGATATTTAAACCAATTTTACTCAATTTTCACATTTAGTCGATAGATCCACAATAATCTTTCTCTTACTATAATAATTACATATTCTGAAAAGTAATAACCATTTCAAGAATTTGTTTAAAAAATAATTGTAAAAGCATTCATATTTTACATTGCAAGTACTTAGTTCGTACAGAACAAAACGTATATAATTTGCAATGAAACTGTTGTGCCGGTAAAAATTTAACTGAAAAGAAAACTAACACGAACAATTAGTTAAAAATAAACACATCAATTTTATACCAGTTGGGCAAAATGTGATACAGACGCGAATGCATTGTCGCTTTGCCAGGGGTTATGTGAAAATTTCAGGATCGCAGCGTACGCTTTTTGTCGGATTGCAGCGTTAAAAATTCAATTTTTCACCGGCGTGGAGATGATTAATAAAACGCGCTGCCGCGTCGTACGCGGCTCGCGGAAATAACTTTGCAAAATTAACAGCGCGCGCATGCAGCTCGTCCGGATTCGAGCATTGCAACAATATTTACAAATGCGAAAGAAAAACAGCATTTCCTATTTGATAATGCTATTATGTTTCGTAACAATTTCGTCTCTTGTACAATATATTTAGTAAATTAAAAATAAGAATATAAAATATCAAAAAATATGAAGCTAAATTTTAATATAAAATTGTAGTGGATCAATAAATAATTTTTCCCATTTTTTATACATAAAACTGAAAAACCCGAGAAATAAAAAAATTGATTCATCGATAACTATCCAAATTCAATATCACAGATATCTCTGACGCAATATAATTTCTACCTAATCGTTCAAGTTCCTGAACTTATGAAGCTTAGTTGAAAAGCATCTCGCGTAATCGTTGCGACGATGCCATCAGTTATTATCAACACAACGAAGTGGTGCGACTGATAGAAGCGACGCAGTCCCCAGAAAATGTCAGCGAGAATAAGGCAAAACTCAAGGATCTCCGCAACAGGTTTCGTAAAGTAAATTCGAGGCTTGGCGCCTCGCGCGGCGTACACGCTCCGGCTGTTAATTGTGTTTGTACGTCGAGGCGACGAGCTGTACTTCGCGCGCGCCGTACAAATACACTTGGACCGAAATTGCAGTGCTTTCTATCTGCAATAATAATTACGACTGCAGTCTTGAGTAAAGTCAAATAGATACGGACAAATTACCGCGGCGTCGGAAAGAGGATCGGGAGAAATAAATTGAAATCGCGTCCTGGTCTGCCGTCGAATTATTCGCGAAATTATTATTTTTCGCTGATGCGAAAGAGTAATATTACGAATGCATGTGATTTAATCGTGGAAAGCGGAAACATATTTGAAAATTTATTCAAAAGAACTATTACACTTTTAAGATTTATTTCGATCTTTGATAATGCATGGTTTAATTAATTTTTTTATAATTAATGAATTATATTCATAATAAAGAGATAAATCTTGAAGTTATAATTATAGAACATATTCATATATATTTTTGCGGACGTAAAAAGAAGAATAGAGCTACGCCGAGAAAGATATATCATAAATTCTTGCAGCGTGTCAGGTATAATGTACTACAACTCCGAACGCGAGTAACTAACTTTGCTCGCGTTGCAGAATACATCTCATTTTTGCGGAAATAGAGCGCGCCCGCCCGCGTGTGCGGTCTAATAAATTCATTTTTCAAAAATTAAGGTAGGCGGTAGGAACTGATGTAATATGATGTTAATAAACGTAGTGTGTGAAATGTATTCTATGTATATCGGGGAAACTACGTTTTATTTCAGCAACGCACTTGCAATAATGTCATTCTATTTTCACATTTTGCTAAAATATTACTTACGTTTTAACGCGACAGTTAATAGACATAAAAACACGAGTTATCTTATTTATTTTTCCAATTTCCCCTAAAATATACATAGGCTAACGCATGACCTCATTTACCTAAATTAGGAATTAAAAGAATGTAAATACGGCTTAAAAATTGACATGTTGCAGCAGCGCATGTTTATTTCTCATACAGAAGTATTTCTATCAATTCGACAGAGATTCTCTAATTTCGTGAACTTTCAAAGCGGCTTGGCACGAATGCAAAGCCACGGCGGTCGCCTCGCTCGCGCTCGATTCGTTAATTTCGTTTGCAATTCCACGCTGTACGACATGAACGCTCGTGCGACCTCGATTGCCGATTCTCAAATGCGCTGTCAAGGGGATGGAAAAAAGTTTCGGTGATGCCGCAAAATTTGCTTTGCTCGCACGACCGATATTCGAGAATGCGAAAGTGAGAGAGAATGAGAAAAACAGCCGTTCCGCACGCCAGACCGACCGACGCCGAAGCATCTAAAAACACGACTGCTCTTTTCCTGTCTTCCCGGTATAGCGCGTTATCTCGGCATGATCTATGTACTCGTATGCTTCGTTGAATAAATAAATCTTAATAGACAAATGAGTTGCACAAGTAAATTTCTCTTGCGAATAAATCTTCGGCGACACTCAATTAAAATCATATTAAACAGCCGCCACAGCCAGTCCAATTTTATGAATTAAAATCATATTAATTAAATAAGAACCGACTCGTATATATCACTGGTTTTATTTTATTACACAGCACGTTCAAACACGATAGAATACGAGAGAATATCGCGACAGCGGAAAATTACGGATAATCCGAGAGCGCGAGGTATTCTTATATTCGATCTAATATTCTTATCCTCATTATTATCAGCCGACACAAACTAACTCGATACGTGGCCAAAAGAAAGGAGCACCAAAGGTGCATTATTGCATCGTTAGAGGTACGTTTTGTCAGTCGTGAATTCGCTGATACGCGATCGGAATTATGCGAGCGCGAATTAATTAAGCGACTTAAATTACATCGCGTGCAGCGGATTGCAGTGGACGCGCATGCATATATGCACGTGATATCTGATGAAAACCGGTGAATTATTTTTTTTAATGTGACGGTGTCGGTTAACCGACCAATTACATGGTTGCGCGGCGGCACGCAAAAGCCTCGTGAAAAATGCAAGCGCGAAAAGTGCGCGATACCGGAAACGCAAATGATCGCTGTTACCGCCGCCAGCTGACACATTGACGGCGTTAAGTAATCGCGGTACGCATAATGGTCGAAAAATTTTCGGCAATAAGCGCGCTTCGATATCGATCGCCGCGGTCCGTTCGATATTGACGTTTAATCAAGATAAAGTTTATTGCTGCTGCGCCCGTGTTACATGCAGGCCGCCGCATTTAAATGCGAGCCGAACGTGAAGGATGAAACGGGCTGTCGAATATCGAACAATGACCGTGCGCGCGTCGGGCAGCGACATAAATTATACGCCGGAAATTTCCGCGAAAATCGCGGGAGGTGATATCGCGTTTCTCGACAGCGCGTGTCCGCATTTCGTGAAAAACAAAAAAATAAAAATATTCAACTTTTCGTTACGATGATATGATCCCCGCGGGTTCCAATAAATACGGGTGCGGACGTATCGATTCCGCTTATTCGCCTACGCGACTACATGACACTTTCGATGAGACACGTAAAAAACCTGCAAATATTCAAAATTTATAATAAAATTTATAATAAACTGCGAAATGCACGGAAATTTCAAACCGGCACCAAGTACAAGTAGTGCGCAAAGCTCGCAGCACACATTAGCCTTTGCGAAATATATCTCGACACAGTTATGCATTTTGCTGGATAAAAGCGCGAGCGTGACGTTGACGTTGGAAATCCGGGGCGTAAGAAAAGTTCGCGGAAGAGTTACATGGCCGCGACACCGATTGCCACGAAACCTTGGCGATTCGCGCATATGCGACATGAAAAAAACAAACAGGACCGCGGAATGAAAGCGTGAAATATTGGGAAATAGTGTACAGGACGAGTCGTGTCACCACTATACGCGCTACTGCGATGAAAAACTGTCACAATACAACTATGCGCAATATATATATATATATATATATTGCGCATAGTTT